ACACGTAACAACCGAAGAGATTTAATCCATAATCAAAACCTAACAAAAAAGTCCTAGGTCAAATGGATTCATGGGAATTCTCTCAAACTTTTACAGAAGAAGTGACACTAATGCTTCTTAAACTCTTGCAAATAATATGAGAAAGAATACTTCCTAACTCATTCTATGAGGACAGCATTACCCTGACACCAAAGTCAGACAAAAATCACCAGAAAAAAAGAAAACTACAGACCAATATCCCTTATGAATGTGTCGTCATTGTTGTTAGTGTAGATGAGTTGGTCTGACTTACAGTGACCCTGTACAGGGTTTCCAAGGAGTGACTGGTCAGTTTGAACCGCCAATCTTGTGGCTCAAAACGACCTTATGGTCCAGTGCTTATCCTACAGTGCCACACCATGTAAAAAATTACTAGGAACCCGCTCTTTCCAGCCAACACTGAGTGATGGGCATCTCTTCGGACAACTGGCACAAGCGCCTCAAGACCAGGGGTGAGAAAATTCTACCACAGGAAACGGAAGTATGAGCTGGGACGACCGGCTGCCAACACTAAGGTGGCTGTATGCACACTGTTCGTGTTAGAGGAGGCAGGAAGTACTGGGTCCTGTGGCTGGATGTGGGGAATGTCTCCTGGAGCTTGGAATGTTGTACTCAAAAACCAAAAATCATTGCTGTTGTCCATAGTGCATCCAAAAATGAGCTGGTCCCCACCAAGACCCTGGTAAAGAACTGCATCGTGTTCCCTGACAGCACGCAGTGTCGACAGTGGTACGAGTCCCACCACATGCGCCTCTGGGCTGCAAGAAGGGAGCCAACTTCATTCCTGAGGAGGAAGAGATATTAGACAAAAAGCAATCAAAGAAAATTTAAGAAAAAACAGGATGAAAGGAAAAAGAATGCACACACCAGCAGTCTTCTGGCGGAGCAGCTCCAGTAGGGCAAGCTTCCGGCACGGATCACTTCAAGCCCATGCCAGTGTGGCCGAGCACTTGACTGTGTGCTCGGGAGCAAGGAGCTGGAGTTCTAGCTGAGGAAAATCAAGACCCAGAAGGGCAGCTAAATCTTCATCCCACCCAGCCAACCCATGTAATTCAAGGTGTTTATTCTTCAAAAAACTAGTAAACCAAATCCAACAGCACAGTAAAAGGATTACGCATCATGATCAAGTGGGATTTATTCCAGGAATGCAAGAGTGATCTAACTTTAGAAGACCACTCAATATAATGCACCACAGTAATGGAACAAAGGAAAAGAACCACAAGAGTATCTCAATTGAGGCAGAAAAGGCAGGTGACAAAATCTAATACCTTTTCATGACAAAAACTCTCAACAAACTAGTACGAGTAAGGAAATTCCTCAATATGACAAAAGGCATTTATGAAACACTCACAACTAACACCAAACTCAATGGAGAAAGACTAAAGGCCCTTATGATCAGAACAAGACAAACATTTCCACACTCACCACTGTTACTCAGGATTCCTGGTGTGGCACTGTAGGATGACCACTGGACTGCAAACCACAAGGTCAGCAGTTCCAACATACCAGCTGCCCTCGGACACCCTACACAGGGTGGCTGTAAGTTGGCACCAACTCGACAGCCCTTAACAACAACACTGTACTGGAAGTCCTACCAGACAATTAGGCAAGAAAACAATGTCTACTCACAGATGACATAATCTTATAGAAAATTCTAAGAAATCCAAACATAAAATAAATGAGTAACGCTAATATCAAGTACCTCAAGGCTGTAGCATACAAGAGCAATATACAAAAATCTATTGTATTCCTATATATTGGCAATGAACAATCTGAAGATGAAGTTAAAAAAACACTTATAATAGCATCAAAAGAATAAAACATGTAGGAATAAAATTTTAAATAGGAAGAGACTTATAATCCAAAATCTATCAAACATTATTGAAAGAAATTAAACACACTCAAATAAAGAGAATGACATCCCATGTTTACAGACTGGACAAGCTACATTAAGATAGTAATGGTGGTGGCGGTGGTATGCCATCGAGTTAGTTCAGACTCATAGCAACCCTCTATAGGTGTTCCAAGGCTGTAAATCTTCATGGGAGCAGAAAGCCTCATCTTTCTCCCACAGAACACCTGGTAGTTTCGAACTAGTGATCTTGCAGTTAGCAGCTCAACTCATAACCCACTATGCTAACAGGAATCCCATTAAACAGTATTACTTTCCAATTGTTGTGTACAAATTCAATGCAATGTCTGAAGAATCTAGTTGCCTTCTCTGCAGAAATCGGTGAGCTAATCTTAAAATTCTTATGGAAGCACCAGGGACCTAGAATATCCAAAACAGTCTTAAAATAAGAAAAAAGTTGGAGGACTCACACTCCTAATTTCAGAACTTGTTACAAAGCTACAGTAATCAAGACTGTGTGGTATATAAAGATAGATACATAAATTACACGTACAGAACTGAGTCCAGAAAAAATTCATACATCGACGGCCATCTGACTTTCAACAACGGTACCAAGACAATTTAATGGGAAAGAATGAAGTTGGGCCTTTACTTCACATCATATACAAAAAATTAACTGAAACATGGATCAAAGATCCTACTGTGAAAGCTAAAGCTATAAAACTTTTAGAAAGAAAAAAATAGGTATAAATTTTCATGACCTTTGATTAGGCAAGTGTTTCTGAAATATGCCATCAAAAGCACAAGCAACAAAAGATTAATTTGATGTCATAAAGTTTAAAACTGGTGCTCCGAAGGACACCATAAAAAAAAGAAAAGAAAAGTCACCCCACAGAATGGAAGAAAACATTTACAAATCCTAAAAGTAACTTGTATCTAGAATATATAAAGAAGTTAATAAACAGATTAAGAAATAATTTTAAAAAGGCAAAGGATCAGAATAGATATTTCTCTGAAGAAGCTATAGGAATAGCCAGTGATGCTCCGTGGGAGAAAGATGAGGCTTTCAGCTCCTGTAAAGATTTACAGCCTCAGAAACCCTGTACAGGGTGGCTATGAGTCGGAACCAACTCCACGGCACATAACAACAACAAATGAAAAGATGCTAAACGTCATTAGCCATCAGAGACATGAAAACCAAAAATGCAGAGATACCACTTCACATCTACTAGAATGGTTAGAACCAGGAAGATAGTAACAACTGTAAGTGAATATGTGGAGAAATTAGAATTCTCCTACATTGTTGATGTTGTTGTTGCTGTCAAGTGCTATCAAGTCAGGTCTGACTCATAGCAATCCTGTATAGGGTTTCCAAAGAGTGGCTTCTGAGTTTGAACTGCCAACTTTGTGGTTCAAACCAACTTTGCAGCCTGGTGCTTATCCTATGGGACATGCAAAATAGTGCAATTGCTTTGGAAAACAGTCTAGAAGTTTCCCAACAGTTAAACAGAGTCACCATATGACTCAGCAATTCTACTTCTAGGCATATAACTAAGAAAAATTAAATCATGGGTCTACATAAAAACTTACATACTGGAAAAAAACAAATGTTCCTAGAACATAATAGCTAAAAAGCAGAAAAAAACCTACATGTCTATAAACGCCTGAACAGATAAATAAAATGTGGTATATTCATAAAACAGAACGTTGTTCAGTAATAAAAAAATATGAAGTACTGACAGATTCTACAACATGAATGAACCTTAATAACATGATGCTAATCCCACGTCCTCTGAATCCACTCATATGAACTGTCCAAACCTACAGATAAACCTACAGAGCTAGAAAGTGGATGAGGAGTTTCCTAGGGCTGGGCAGGTCAGGGGCTAGGGAGTGATGACTAAGGAATGCAAGGTCTCTTTGGGGTGGTGAAAGTCTTCTACAAATGTATTGTGGTGAACTCTATGAAAACAGTAAATGACACTGCCTTGTGCATTTTAAATGGGTGTTATATATATTTATAGTTTGTCAGTTAAAGCTCAATAAAGGTGTTTTAAAAGTGTATATTGTGAAATAAAAATTATCTTAGAAAACAATTGTTTAGAATTTTAAACAATTGTTTAAAAGGGTGAATTTTATGTATATGAATCACATCTTTAAAATGTTTTAATTGTCATTGTTAGATAACTAAGAGGAATAAAATGATTAGGAGACAGTTTCCACAAGTAATTGACAGTATATATTGAAAAGATGCCACTATAAATTAGACTTTGCACATCTCTGATTTTTAAATAAGGTCAGTCACAGAGGTGGGAGCCAAGATCATTTGCTCCAGGTTTGCTTGTAGAAGAAACTACCTTTCCTTCAAATTAATAGTATAAGCAGCAGCTTCTAATTTACTTTCATTTTCTTTTGTCTTGTATTTCTAAACAAGTCATTTAATAAATTTTCATGAAGGTTGACACAACCAATTTTGAAAGTTCTTGCATAAAACAGAGGTGTTTTCGCAGCCTTGAAGCAGAGACCCATTTTACTTGGGAGAAGAAAAATAAACCAAGTTAAAATACCCTGCTAAGAATTAAAAAATCACTTTTCCTTTTTGTCTTGTAGAGTTTTATCCTAGCACAATTTTAAAACCACTCTAAGTCACAATCTGCAACAACATGGGATTGGCCCTTGTTCCAAATATGGAAGCAAATGGGCCCCGCCTATCACTGAGTCTCTAAGATGCCAAAGATATTCCATTTCATTAAACTCTACAGCTCCCTAGTCACTTGTTAAGCACAGATTTAAGTACTAAACGTTGCTGTTCTCGTCTCCACAATTGTAAAAGCACAAGTAAACCAAAGTGGATTTCATGAAAAGTGCATCCTTTACAAGCCCCCAAACCAGCAGTACAATCTCAAGATAGCCATTTCAACTCCTTTCCACCAAATTATTTAGGTCCACAAGACAGAAGACTGCTGCTTTAGTTCATTCTGTGGATCCCCTAAACATCAGAAATGTCCCAGTGAGGTTTCAAATAGTGAGACAAGTAGCAATATGTGCCAACAGTAAACAAATCTACCAATGAACCCCAGGAGACAGAAGGAGCATTCATTATTATTACCTTTAAAGATGCTTTTCAGGAGTGCTCCAACAGCTTTTCCTTTCACTGCTTGATGCTGAAGAAGACTAACAAGCTGCCACCAAAGAAAGTAAAAGCTGTAAGTCTCTGGCAACAGTCAGGCCCGTCTCCCCTCCCCCAGTGACCCTGAGTTCCCAATGTGAAATAGCATTCCACAGCCAGGTACCTATCACTCTGTACTTACTATTCTATAATTAACAGTAGTATCCCAAATAGCCTACTATTTATTTAGGTGAAGCAGGATAGATCTTAATAGATTGAGTTGTCAGGACTGAAATCTACTCATTCATTCTACAAACGTCTATTGAATATGTACTTAATCAGCAGTAGGCACTATGCTATGTTCTTGAGTATACAGATTCACTCAGCAAATACTTTTTGAGCCTACTCTTTTTCCTGGTGTGGCACTAGAGTAGTAAGCACTAGACTACTAACTGAAAGGTTGACTGTTCAAACCCACCAGCCCCTTCTGGGAAACCCTACACAGGGTCGATTATGAGTCAGAACTAACTCTGAACAACAAGAGGGAGGGACACAGGATGAGCAGGGTGGACATGAATTTCACTCACGAGTCTACAACAGGGCAGGCGGAGAAAGAGCGACTGAACAAAACCTCAGAGAAGAAGTCTCTGTAAAGTGAGAAACAAGTTCGAGGCTGAGGTGGTGGTGGTTACGTGCTGTGAAGTCATTTCCAACTCAGTGACCCTGTATAGGGTTTCCGAGACTGGCACAGGAATCCTGGTGTGACGCTGTGGGTTAAGCAACTGGACTACAAAGATGGTTTGAACTGCAAGGTTGGTGGTTCAAGCTCACCAACCTCTCCTTGGAAACCCTAAAACAGGGTTGGTATGGGTCGAAACCAACTTGATGGCACTTAATAACAACAAATCTTTACGAGAGCAGAAAGCCTCATCTTTTTCCAGTGGAACAACAGTTGGTAGTTTTGAACTGCTGACCTTGAGGTTAGCAGCAGGAGTCTTAACTAGTAAGCTACCAGAGCTCCTTAAGAGGCTGAAACAGAGAATTAAAGAAAGGGGAACAACTTCAAGGAGGGTAGTCAGAAAAGCTTCCTGCAGTAGTGCAGGGCTTCGAACCAGTTCATTCCTTTTCCATGCCCTGCTGAGAAGTTGCATTTCCCCAGCAGAACCTTAACAAAATCACCAGGAACAAGTCTTGCAGACCAGGTGATTCTTATTCGTATCTGGGCATCTTGTTCAATTATCGGTTCTGATTCAGTGTATCTAAAGTAAGGAGCTCTGGAGTGTAGGGGATTCTTTTATGTCCCCAGGTGATTCTGATGTATGTTGTTGTTGTTGTTAAGTACCGTGGAATCAGTCCCAACTCATAGTGACCATGCACAGGGTTTTTGAGGCTGCAAATCTTTACGAGAGCAGAACACCTCATCTTTCTCCTGCGGAACTGCTGGCAGTTTCGAACTGCTGACTTTGAGGTTGGCAGCCAAACTGGTAACCACTATACATATGTATAAAACGCAGATTCAGATTTAGTATATCCAAGGTTGTTGTTGTTGTTATGTGCCGTGGAGTCGATTCCGACTCATAGTGACCCTGTATAGGGTTTCCAAGGCTGTAAATCTTTACGGGAGCAGAAAGCCTCATCTTTCTCCCGCGAACAGCTGGTAGTTTCGAACTTCTGACCTTGCGGTTCGCAGACCAACTCGTAACCACTAAGCTATATCCAGAGTAGAAATGCAAATTCTCAGTAGAAGGTTGAACTGGAATTAACCAGTTTGAAGCCCTGCTGTTGGGTGACATTTAAGCGGCAATCTAGAGAATGAGAAAGAGCCAGTTATATAAAAGGGAAGAGGGAGTCCATTCCAGATCGAGCTATCATCAGGGGCCGTGATGGGCAGAAAGCTTGCCATGTTTGAGAGTTTGGAAAAAAAAAAAAAGAAGAAAGGTCAATTCAGCCAGGCAGCAGCAGTAAAATGAAGAGTAACACAAGATGAATTTGGAGAGATGGGAAGGGCAGAGACCACAGTATTGGAGGCTATGATCAGAAGTCTGGAGTGTGGTCTTTTAAAAAAAAGTCTTATCTATAGGGCACTAAGCAGTCAGCAATTAATTTAAAACAAAGATGAGAAAGTAAGTGGACAGGAAAGTTAGGTTAGTGCAAACCAGAGCGGAAACAATGAGAACCGTCATGCATCTGTGAAGGAGCTCAGCAACGTCACTGACAATTTGTGCAGAAACCACTGAAAGGAAACCTAAGTGGTGGCTGTGTAAAACTTCACCAAAAACACAGTAAAATAGCACTGGAAAAAGAAAAAGAAAAAAAAAAAAGACCACTCTTGCTCTAGAGAATGGGCTCTGGGTAGGTTTAAGAGTGAAAGAGGGACTCCTCTTAGGAGACTGATGCCATGATCAAGTGCGAGACGATGGCTGCCTAGACCACGGTGATATGAGGACAGATAGAGAAAAAAAGATCGATCTGAAAAGCAGAATCATACGACTTCCCAGTAGTTTGGAGGAGAAGCGAGGTAGTGATGAAGGAAAAGAAGTCCAGGAGGACGCGTAAATTAGCTTACATAACTAACCGGGTAGACGATGGCACCTTCTACCAGGGGGCTTCAAAAAGTTGGTGGAAAAATGCCATGATCTTTTAGTTCCATTGTCCCACAAACGTTCTGAAGCCTTGATGTATTAACAAGGGGGAAACTTGGGATTACGCAATACCCAAAACACCTAGAAGTTTTTTTTTTTAAACAGATTGATAAATTTCACCGAGCTTCTGGTTCCATAGGTTTGCCATGGGGCTAAATATCCAAGCAGATAACTAGATGTGAAAAGGTATTTGACATTTGCTTCTACAGAGCATACTCACATCATTTTCTTTCAGGCTTTGAAGAAATTCTTGCAGTTTGTCCGTTGTTCTTTCTGCTGCGAGAGATAAAATTTTCTGATCCATTGTTGCTCATTTCAGGTTAACTGTAAGGGAAAAATGAAACTTCCAGAATCAAGTTTGATCTTTTGTCCCCTTCCCTATCTATTCAGAATTTTTATTTCACACCTACACCAGACAATGGGAGAAAGATGAGGCTTTCTGCTCCTATAAAGATTTACAGCCTTGGAAGCATTATGAGTCAGAACCGATTTATGGCACACCACCAGCACCACAGACAAAGCTGCTATGAGTTGAAGTTGACTCACAGTGTGTTTTACAGAAAAGGTAAGGCAGGCCGACTGGCACAGTGGCTTGAGGTCAGCTACTAACAAAAGGGTCAGTGGTTTGGACCCACCAGCTAGTCTGTGGGAGAAAGATGTGGCAGTCTACTATATAAAGATGACAACCTTAGAAACTCTACAGAGCACTTCTACCCTAGCCTATAGGGCCACTGAGGCGGAGTGACTCAACCGCAGCAAGTAACCAGCATGATAAACACTGGACTACTAACTAGTATGAATGGGTGATTTTTACCCTAACCAAAATAATTTCAAGAATTTCTTGGTTGCGTACCTTATTATGAACCTATGAGGGAACTTCAAAATTTTTGTGGAAAAATGGAATTAGAAGAGAATGGATTTTTTCCATGAACTTTTTAAAGCTCCCTCATATATTACAGTCAAGTGACTTCATAATTTTTTCCACATTTACATATATGTATATTTTTCCCATATACCCAACATAATGCCTAAAACAATGCAGTCATTCAACAGTATTCAAATAAATTATGCTGTCATTATTATATACACAAGAATATATCCTTTATTAAAAATATAATAAAGTAATAATCAATAAATAAATAAACCAACAGCCTAACAAATGCTAAGTGCCAATTAAAATGGATTAAAAAGTGAGTTCACAGAACTCAAGAAATTGTGTGCTCAAATATCAAGAAGGGTATTCACAGCAGAGGAGAGCTTTAACTGAAACTTTAGAAATTAAACATCTATAGGTAAGACAACCAGATGATACACATTATACATAACTGTGAAGGAACAAAGGCAATCATAAGAGAATCTGAGAAACTTGCTTGGGGGATAAACAAATTGTGGTACAAACATACAAAGGAATTATAAATCAATAAAAAAAAATTCAAGTTATCAAGCCACAGAAAAGCAAGAAGAGACGTTAAATGCATAATGTTAAGTGAAAGGGGTCCTTAGGTAGAGCAGTTAAGAGCTTTAACTGTTAACTGGAGGTTCAAATTCACCCAAGGACATTTCAGAAGACAAGCCTGGCTATCTTCTTCTGAAAGGTCAGACCCTTCAAGACCCAATGGAGCAGTTCTACTTTGCACACGTGGGATCACAATGAATTGGAATGGGCTGGAGGGCAACTGACAACAAAGTAGAAGGCAGTACGAAGAAAGCTACGTACTGTATGAGTCCAATGATATGACATCCTGGCAAAGACAAAACCATAAAGACAGTGAAAAGATGAGTGACCAGGGGGATGTTGGGGGAACGAAGGAGGAATGAATAGGTACAGGCGTTTTGAGGACAGCGACACGATTCTGCACGATACTGTAATGGCATACACATTTGTTAAACCCTACAGGACTATGGACAGAGAGCTGGTATCACAGTGCATTTCACCATAGACTGCTAACTACAAGGTCAGAAGTTTAAATCTATCAGCTGCTCTGCAGAATTAAAGACGAGGCATACTGCAGCCGTAACGATTTATCACCTCGGAAACCCTATACAGGAACCAACTCAACAGCATACAACCATTACCATCACCACCACTACCATAGGGCTATAGAGCACAAAGAATGAATCGTAATGTAAACTATGGAAATAATTTCATAAGGTACCAATATTGGTGTATTAATTTCAACAAATACACAAGAATGCAAACTGTTAATTGAAGAAACAATGTGCAGGGAAGCGGGGCATGTGGAAATTTCTGCACAAGTTTTCTTTAAAGCTAGTACTTAAAAAAATAATAAACTAATTTGGGGGAAATGGAGAGATTGGCTGGGGTTGAGAGTTCAAGTAGGGAAGATAAAAACAGGGAAACTAGAAAAATAAAAAGCTTGGGGATAAACTATGGAAATCTTAAATGCCTTCCTAAGAAATTAAGGTTTTATTCTGTAAATAACAGAGCCACCAGAATTTGTTAAGAGAATCTGACAAGACTGAAACAGTGTTTGTGGAACAGAATCTGGCATCACTGTGCAAATCAAAGTGGGGAGGGTATACAGAGAAGAGCAAAGACAATTGACAGGTCTGCACTAGGGTGGCAACTGAGGAACAGAAAGGAGGCGATGAGGGACCTGTTCAGATTTGTTGTTGTTAAGTGCTGTTGAGTTGGTTCCAATTCATAATGATCCTGTAAAGTTTCCAAGGAGCAGCTGATGAGTTTTAACTGCCCATCATGGGGTCAGCAGTCCAGTGCTTGTCCTACAGGGCTCCCTGTTTATATTTGCTGCTGTTAAGTGCCATCGAGTCAGCTCTGGCACACAGGGACTCTGTATAGGGTTTCTGAAGCTCTGGCACACAAGGACTCTGTATAGGGTTTCCGAGGAGCAGCTAGTAGGTTTGAACTGCTGACCCTGTGGTTCCGAGTCCAGCACTAATTCTACAGCACCATGCCAGGAGACAGATGTTATCGTTGTTAGGTGTTGTCAGGTCAGTTCTGATACGTAGCAACCCTACGTACACCGCCCAGTCCGACACCATGCTCACAATCTTGCCTATGCTTGAGCCCACTGTTGCAGCCGTGTATCTTTCTCCAGGGTCTAGTTCCTCTTTAACAGTAAGTCCAAAGTAAGTGAGATGAAGTCTTGCCATCCTTGCTAAGGAGCATTCTGGTTGCACTTCTTCCAAAACAGATTTGTTCGTTCTGGCAATACACAATATAGTCAATATTCTTTGCCAACACCATAAAAGTGGGAGGGGAAAATGCAAACTAGGAGAAAGAAACCTGCTCCTCCACTTTCTTCTATGTTCCCCATCTTCATAAATGGTGCCATCATCCTACCCAACTGGCTCAAGTCAAAAGCCCAGGCAACATTCTTAACTTTGACATCATCTTCCATATCCACTACTCCAAGGCCTATCAACACTATTCCCGAACTTGCTCCCAATCTGTACACTTCTCTTCATCTCCACTACTGCCACATTACTCCAAATCCACCATCATCTCTCACCTAAACTACTGCAATAGCTTCCTAACTTGTCTCCCTCTGGACAGCAACTAATAATCTTTTTGAAAAACAGATCATGTGATTTGCCCGCCGTCCACCCCCATCCTCATCGTAAACGTCTTCAAAGCCTTTCTACTGCTTTCATATCAATCTAAAATCCTGAAGCCAGGATAAAAACTGTGGAGGAGGTGGGGGTGCAGGCTCCTATGCCATCTCTTGAGTTTCATCTTGTTCTAAACTGAAAAAGTCTACTGTTGTCAAGTGCTTCCAACTCACAGTTATACTACAGGGCAGACCAGAACCGCCCCATAAGATTTCTAAGGCTGTAAATCCGTGCAGAAGCAGACTGCCTCTTCTTTCTTCCTAAGAGCTGCTGGTGGGTTCAAACCACTTACCTTTTGGAACATCTGTGTACTTTAACCACTGTAGCACCAGAGTTACTCATCTTGCTCCAGGCTCCCCTTTATCACTCCATACCCCAGTCACACTGAGTGAGTTGTTTCCAGTCTTTCAAGATACGTCCCTTCTGCCACAGTCCTATCACATGATTTTGTCTGGAATCTAAATACTCTTTCTTCCATCCCCTACTCTCAATCTGGTTAATCCTTACAAATCTCAGTTCAGTCTACACTTCTTCAGAAGTTGCTTAGTCCAGGTTAAACACTTCCCTATTACAATCTCTAAAGGGACATTGTGACCTTTACTTGCGTCTTCTAACATACTCATATTGTTGTTACACTTTGAAGATTACATTTATCTGTGATTATTAGATGACTATTTTTGTTGTTGTTCAATGACTACCCTACTAAACTATAAACTCCACAAAGTGATTCACCACTAGATCTCAGTACTCAGCACAGTACCTCATAATGCTGTTGCTGTTAAGGTGGTCAATAAATATTTGCTAGGAAAATGATTATTGGAACTCTACAATGGGCAAGACCCTGGTCCAGCACTTTACATTAATCCTCACACCATTCTTATTAAGTAGGAGCTACTGGTCCCATTTTTATGAAGAACTTTTGGGATTCAGCAATTTTTCCAAGGCGGTGGTAGTTGTTAGATGCTCTTAAGTCAGTCCCAACTCATAGTGACCCATATACTATAAAGTATTGTCTGGTCCTACACCATCCTCACAATCATTGCTACATTGGAGTCCATTGTTGCAGTCACTGTGTCAATTCATCTCCTTAAGAGGCTTCCTCTTGTTCACTGGTTTTTGCCAAGAATGATGTCCCTCTCCAGGGATTGGTCCCTCCTGATAACAAATCTGTTGAGACAGTCTTGCCATCCTTGTTTCTTAGGAGCATTCTAGTTGTACTACTTCCAAAAAGATGTGTTCCATCTTCTAGCAGTCCATGATATATGAGTGGGTTTCTAGAAACTCATGGGAAATGGAATTAAAAGATAACGGAACATTTACACAAACTTGTTGAAGCCTCCTAGTACTCAATATCCTCTGTTAATACCGTAATTCAAAGGCAACAATTCTCCTTCAGTCTTCCCTATTCATTGCCCAGCTTTTTGCATGCATATGAAGTGATCAGAAAGACATGGCCTTGAGTCATGTGCACCTTGTCTTCAAACTGACAACTTTGCTTTTTAACACTTTAAAGAGGTCTTTTACAGCAGATCTGACTTCTTAACTGCTGCTTCCATAGGCACTGAAGGTAGAGCCAAGTAAAATAAAATGCTTGACAAATTCAATCCTTTCTCCATTTTATCATGGTACTGTGAGAATTTTTGTTTTCTTTATGTGGAGGTGCAATCCATACTGAATACTGTAGTCTTTGATCTTCATCAGTAACTGCTT